AGCCTTGATTTTTTATTATATATTTTTTTTCTAAAAATTAATTACACATGAAACTAATGGTGAGAGAGAGGGTTTTTAATTTAATTAATAAATAAAGGAATAATCCAATATTAAGAGGTTATTTGAAAAGTGTTAGATTAATATATTTTTTGATTTTTTATAAAAAAAATATGAAATATAAATTAAGCTTGAAATAATGTGACAAAATAGTGATATAATTCAAATAAAATAATTATAACTCAAATAAAATAATATATTAAAATAATATGTGTTATTTTAACACGGGTCAAACAAGCACTAAAGGTTAAAGCAATTATTAAAAAAAAAAAAAAAAGAGAAAAGCGTATGTATTTGTTGGTGAATTATAAAATTGTTAGGAGAGTACAGCTGGCGTTGACAGAAAGTGGGGTTGATAGTAGATGCAGAAGAGGACGCGCAAACACCGTCGTCCATTCGTTGTTTTGGGGGTGAACTGTGATTGGGGCCCACTTCCAACGCCTACGCGCACGTTAGTCAGGTCGGCGCGCTCGCTCACTTTCCTGCCTAACGTCGTTCTGCTCCTCACGTCCTACCAAACAAATCAAATTCCAAAGGATAAATTACAATAAACCCCCCAAACTATGAATCATTTGCACTTTTAAGCTTTGTCTCTAAATTAATCATTTGCACTTTTAAACCTTATCTCAAAATTTTTAAAAAACTCCACAAATAGTCACTTCGAATTATTATCCTTTTACCCCGTAACATTTTTCGTTAGAATGTATAAAAGATAAGACACATTTATTGATTTTTTAATATAATAATACTAATTATTAATTTTTTTAAGATAATAATATTTTTATCTGATAATTTTATTCATACTTTGTTTAACTTATCTTAGTGACAAAGTGCAAATTGAATCAATAGATTAGGATAATATTATCCTAAAAATTCATTAAATATGTCATTTGCTTTGCACATTATTTGATTTTCTATATATCCCTAATAAAATCCTAACAAAAATATCAACTGTAACGAAATTATATTTAAAGTGATTGGCAGTTAATTTTTAAAGTTGAGAAACAAAATGAACATTAATTATGATTTTCAAGAGATTTATGATAATTTATCCAATTTGAAATTCAAAACAAATCAAACATGACAAAACTTGTCGTTTTTAACCCTTACCGTCTCCGATTTGAAATGTTGTGGCGCATCTGGTTTGATTTTTAAAAATAATTTTTGAAATTTTATTTTTTTTCTTTTCAAAAATGATTTTTGAATTTTTTATTTTTCATGTTTTGTTGCATTTAGTGAATTCTTTTGCATTTTAGTTAAATAAATTATTTTTTAGATAGGAGTACATTTAATCGAAATATACGTTAAAAAAAATCATTTTTTAGATGTATTTAATCTAAATATACAAATATTTGTAATTTTTTTTAAAAAAAGTCAACAAATATAAAAATCAATATTTTTTTTTTGTATTTACGATTTAGGGGATTTAATAAGTAAAAAAATAAATAATGACTAAAATACAAAAAATAAAAAAATACCAAAAATTAAAAAAAAAATACGAATTACAAAATTTATTTTTAAATACTCCAAAACCAAATAGAGTAATAAAAGATAATTGGGGTAAATTACAGATACACCCTTAAGGTTTGTTTAAAGTATAGATTGATCCCTATAATTTGAAAAAATATAAATATCCTATTGTCATAATTTTTTATTTAACATAATTAACTAAAAAAATGAAATTCATAATTATTCTTCTATACAATAATAAAATTACTTAAATTATTACTTGAAATATATTTCTAATATCATTAAAAATTATTAATTGATTTGATGATTTATTTATAAAATGAACGATTTGTTATGAAATTAAAAATTTCAGGAGGGATGTTTTCAGAATCACAGGAAACAATTCGTATTTTAATCAAATATAAAGGGATGTATTTATAATTTATCTAAAATAATTTCACAAATATAAATATAAAAATACTAAAAATGTTGGGTACTTTTGTCTCTCTCACTTGTAGTTGTTGCCTACTTATTATGGATTTTTTTTAGGGCAATTTGTTTTAAGGTCGCTGATATTAAGATTTTATAAGATAAATTTTATAATAGTTAAGGTTCCTTAACATTTTTACAGAGAAAATTTAATTCGGAAAAATTTTGCCCGACGTGGAAAAATTTTCTTTATGAAAATTGAAATTTCTCTAAATCATTGTTGAAATTTCTCTTAGTCGAATTTTTTCTATGATTAAAATTTCTCTAAATCAAGGTTGAAATTTCTCTTAATCAAACTTTTTCTATAAAAATATTGAAAGACTTTAACTAATAAAAAAATAGTTTTGACCTCTCATACTAGTTGAGAATATTTCACTAATTTTTTTATTTTTTTATTTATCTTTAAACTAGTGATGCACACACTCACCAAAGAGATAAAGAATAATGTATTGCATACTTGTAATATGAGGCTTCATCAACACTGAAATATTATTCACCTTGTTTGATTTCACTTTTTAAAAAATATTTTTTAGAAAAATTTTATTTTCTTATTTTTTATATTTTTTTATTTTTATTGAATGTTTTTAATATTTTAAATAATTTTTTTTTACTTTTTAGACACACCTAACATAAATACAACTAAAAAATAAAAAAATTATAAAAAAAATCTTTTAAAAATTCACTAAATACCAAAAATACAAAAAAAAAAATACAAGAATTCAATACTTTTTTTGTATTTTTATGTATTTATTAATTTTTTAAAATATTTTTTCATAAATTTTTTACTTTTTAAATATATCTAAGTAAGGTGCATCTAAAAAAGTAAAAAAAATATTTAAAATTTAAAAAATATTCACTAAAAACAAAAAAATACAAAAACAAAAAAAGGAAATTTTCAAAAAATTTAATTTAGAAAACTCAAATCAAACACTAATTATTATTATTATTATTATTTTGGGCACTGTTTTCACTGCGAAAAAATTCGAGCAATACTTGAAAAGAGACTGATTCACTAAAAATAGAAATGATATATTCCTCTATATTGAAAATTCTAAAAGAGCACTAATGATGTGGAAAAAGAAAAAAATAAAAAATAAAAGAAACCAAAGTCAAAACATCACATCACATAAGACCTACACATTAATTAAAATTATTAGAACTCTTAATTTAGAGCTCTCAATTTTTTTCCACTAAAAATGCAGTGAATGATTGAAATCAAATCAAATTATAATAAGGTATACCTTTAAAATAAATCTCAATTTAGCATATTATGAGCGTGTTATTTTAATATTTTTTTTAATTTTTTTTAAAAGCTAAGTAAAAAAATATAAAAAATGATATGATAATTTGTAATAATTTTTTAATTTTTTTGACTAAAATATTTAATTTTCAAAAGAGGGCTATAATTGTTAATTCATTTTTTTTTACTTTATATTCTTAGGTTTTTTTTGTGCAAAAATTATAAATAAAAAAACAAAGTTTGATTTTTATAACAAAATAAATCTTAAATTTTTAATTTTATCAATTTAAATTTTGTTCTTTTAATTTGTTTTTAATATTGAATAATTTGTATATTTCTGTTTAAATCTAAATCATATGTTTATTTTTGCTAAGTAAAATTAACAAAAAATTAATATTTTAATTATTAAACTCAATGAAAAGGATTATCGTAGACATTTTACATTGAGCTTAATAATTAAAATATATATTTTTAATTAATTTAATTAATAAAAATTGATAAATAATTTATATTAAAAAATTAATATTTTAATTGATAAAATTTGAAATTAAAATTTTATTTTATTATAAAAGTTATTTTTTCCAATATAAATTTTAATTTTATTTTAGGGTCTTCTCTGGACTTCCAGCCGTCATTCACTAAAGGCAGCAATCTCTTCTTCTTACGCTGTATTAACGATAGACAGCTCAGTCAGGGTCTCTATTGTAGACCAATCAATTAGTGCGTCACTTTTATTCTAATTACGACGTTGCCCTCATTTCTCTTAGGAAAATATTTGCGATTGTAAAAAAATTCACCCTTTTACCTACAATTTATTTATATATTATATAAGAAAATAAAATTTTTAATGTGAAGATTTGTGAGGGTTTCAAAATTTTATTTTATAATTGTTAATTTTTGTGATTTTAATGATATTTAAAAATAATTTTATTGACTAACAACGTAATTATAGGTTAAAGAAAAAATAAAAAAATTATCTAAAATTTTGAATTATAAATTTCTAAAACCTCTCCTCTCATATTTCTCTTTTTTCTAAATTTCATATCATGACATATACATTAAAAAAACATGAGTTGTAATAAAAAAACTTAAAATTAAAATATATTCAGTTTAAGAAGTTCATGGACGGCAAAATAACTTCACATTGAAAAAAAAAATTATGCATTAAATTATTTTTAATTCATATATAATTTAGGCGGCGTGCCTAGAAAAGTATTTAAAAAAGGGGGGACAAAAGTGATTCTCTGCCTCCGTTTGGGAAGTGGGTTGGCTTTTTGACTTTTTAGCTATTTTAGTCTGGGTTATTTTAGCCTGGTTTGGAAAGGATTTTTTGGCTTTTTGACTTTTTTAACTTTTTTTGTGAGAGATGATTGTAATGATTATAGGTTGGATTTGATGTTTTGTTTTTTGTGACTAAAATAACTTATTTTGTTTTTTATGACTATTTTAACCAAAAAAACCTGGGCTTTTTCTTCCCAAACAGAGGCTCTATTTAAAAAGACAAGTAAATTGAGTGGCAATTATGTGAATAACAAGTAAAACACGGCCATTTAATCATTCTCATCAACTATTTACATACACCAAGAGAGAGAGAAAGACAGAAAGATACTCCCACAGCACACATCACATAGAGAGAGAAACTCAGAAACAACAAACCGAGAGAGAGAGAGAGAGAGAGAGAGAGAGGGAGAGTAAGATCACAAGTTGCTTCATCTTCATCTTCATCTTCATCTTCATCTTAACGTCTTCTCAAAGCTTCACAACAATGGCAACCACTTCATCTCTCTCCAACACCTTCACACTCTTCTTCATCATCATCACCTCTCTCATCATCATCCTCTCATCGTCACGCGCCGTCGCAGCGAGCGGGGACCTGATGGGGTGGGCAGCACCAACTGCGAGATCCGGATGCCGAGGAACCATCGCCGAGTGCCTCTCCACCGATGAGGAGTTCGATCTCGATTCCGAGGCCACCCGGCGCATCCTAGCCACCACCCGTTACATCAGCTACGGTGCGCTGCAGAGGAACACTGTTCCCTGCTCCCGACGTGGCGCCTCCTACTACAACTGCCGATCCGGTGCACAGGCCAATCCGTACACCCGTGGGTGCAGTGCCATTACTCGCTGCAGGCGTTAGTTTTCCCCTCATCTTTCATTTCCAAAAATTCTAATTTTTCTTTTATTTTTTATTTTTTGTTTTTGGGATTGTTTGTTATACAATGGAAAAGAGGAAGATTGCTGATGTTTTTCTTTTGGCTATGATGAAAATATTGTTGTTATTAATTTTAATATTTTGTGTTGTTTCTGTATAAGATCATTCATTACGTTATTATTAATAATTCTTTGATCCTAATTTTCTGCGTTTCTGTTTGTTTGACAAGAAAACAACTTTTTCCATGTGGGTTTGTGTATAATTTTCTGGGTTTTTTTTATTTTTATTTGTTTGTGATAATAATTAATAAATTTATGCACATAGACTTGAAACTTGGAATGTAATAATTTTAATGTAGTCATATTTATTTAGATGAACAGTGTAATTTGTAATTTTTTTTTTGTTTTTATTTTTTATATATCTTTTCTTTTGTGTCCTTTCCAAGTTTCATATTTTCTGTAAATTTCTTCGAATTTTGAATTGTCTTTTATTTAAATCTTTCTTTCAATTTTAGCATCTAGGACCTCTTTCCTTTTCCCAATTCATGAAGGAAAAGGGGAACAAGATATAGAATGCGAAATGGAAGGAATAATTGAAAGGAAAGTGAACCCTTTTTTTTTTTTGGAAAAGGGGGGGGTTTAAAGAGATTTAGAAAAGAAAAAAAAAATTGTGAAATTAAGTAAGATGTATATATATTTTATTTATTTTTACTCTTTTCTTTTTTAAATTTCTTCCAAAATTCTTCAATCAAGAACAGTCTTATGAATATAAATTTGGGTCAATGTAAAATTGAATGATCATCATAAATAATAATAATAATAATAATAATAATAAATGCATTGTAAACAGAATTGTTATTTATCGTTAAGATAGAATCACCATTCTATGAACAAATTACGGAATGACTCTTTCTTTTCATTTCACCTCATTTTAAACCCTATTTAAAAGTTTTTAACAAAGCCTCCGTCTGGGAAGGGGATTAGTTTTTGGGTTTTTTTTTTTTGGTTATTTTAGTCTGGGAAGGGGGTTAGTTTTTGGATTTTTTTTTTGGTTATTTTAGTTTGAGCTAAAAAGTTTGGTTTGAAAAGTGTTTTTTGGTTTTTTTAAATTTTTTTTGTGAGAGAAGAGTGTAGTGATTATAGGTTGAATGTGATGTTTTATTTGTTGTGCTTAAAATAGTTTATTTTGTCTTTTATAATCAAAATAACCCCCCAAACGAAGCCAAAATGTCCTTATTTTATTTGAATTTTGAATTTGTGTAGAAATGAGGAAATGATTTTTTTTTCCTTTCCTTGTATTTCATTTACTTTATTTTGTTAATTTTTTTCTTTCCGCAAATACAGCCTTAATTACAAAAAAGACAAAAATTGATGAAATCAGGCGGCATGTTTTACAAATTTAAAAGATATATATATTTTATTTTCAATTTTTTGCAAAGTTGATGGCCTAGTTGTGTCCATTCATAGTGGAAAAACAAGGGAGCATATGTTTTGTCAAGTTGCTAAACTTTCCTTTCCATTCCCAGAAGGTGAGAAAAGTTTGGAACTCCTATTGCATTATAGGAACATGAAGGGTGTAGAATCTGATCCCTCTCATCTCCACCACATGACTAATGATAAAGGAGTAATTACACACTAGGCTCCTCAGCTATTAGTAAAATGTTACTTAATTTTTTTATTTATAAATCTTAATATTTTAACTCCCTTAATTATGAAAATAGTACAATAAATCTCTTTTAGAGGTGGTGAAAGTGAAACAAATAACAGGTCAAGTTTTTTCAGTTTCGAATACCAATTCTTCTTGATTCTAAATTTAATTATTTTAATAATATAATTTCATATTTGATGTTAATCTTTATAGTTTTAATGTATTTATTCATATATTTTACTCTATCTTGTCCTGTTGATATTCTCTCAATTTTTTTTTTTTTATTATTGACAAATATAAATGGATTGGGTAATTTTGCCATTACCTTTTAAATGGGGTTTAAAGGGAATGAAAGTGATAGAGATCAAAATATATGAATTTGTAAATAAAATAATATTCATAAATAATTAAAGAGTGTCGATAACTTATAATAAAATCACAATCACAATAGCTGGAAATTGGAATAAGATGTTGGTTTGGACCTTCCTTCATTCCTTTTCAATTTGAAAATGGCCGTGTGTCCTATTAGAGAGCTTTCACATGGGGTACGTGATTTGAGGCAATCGCCAAATGAATCTCACAAACACACAAGAAGATGTTATTAAGTTTGTTTGGGGTCCGACCTGATTTTTTAATTATTTTAATTTGAGCACAATAGCTGGAAATTGGAATAAGATGTTGGTTTGGACCTTCCTTCATTCCTTTTCAATTTGAAAATGGCCGTGTGTCCTATTAGAGAGCTTTCACATGGGGTACGTGATTTGAGGCGATCACGTTGATTTTTTAATTATTTTAATTTAAGATTAAAAAATCTTATTTAAGATAGGATTTTTGATTTTTTAATTTTTAATTTTTGTAAGAATAAAATAAAATAATTATGAAATAAATATAATATTTTATTTTATTTAACTAAAATAATATATTTTATCTTATATAATTATTTTAATACAAGTAAACGAACCCCTTGTCAATCACGCCCCCTCCATTTATTTCTTTTCATGGTAATGTTGGGTTGTCAGTGGCCCACAACACTCCATTCACAAAATCAAATTCAAAAACGCAAAATGTGGGAACTTTTGCCAAAGAATATTAATGCAGTGTTTTGGAGGAAAGGGTTAAAAATTGATTCTTTTTAATTTTTAGACTTTTTTCTTTTAAAAAAAAAGATAAATTAAAAGTTAAACTTTTAATCAACTTTTCAAAATAAGTCATAATCTACTTTTTCACTTGTCTAGAGAAGATCTTCATCATCTTCTCTTCTTTTCTAAAAATTGAAAAGGTTTTTACATCTACATATAGAGTTCATACTTGTCGGGCTAATGTACTGTGGTGGAATTTGAGATGGGTCTGGAGTTTATTCGTATGATTTGAATTATTTATATTAAAAAAATAGAGATATTGTTATTGTTGTATTTTTTTTAATGTGGATTGATATTGATTTTATTTTGATAATTTAAATGGATTACAATATAAAAATAAGGATACTATTGCATGTTGTGCTTCCCAATGGGGGCTCATACTTACCATATTTTGATGTTTCAAACAATGCCAAGTTTGGGAAGACTAAAAAAGTGCACTTTTTGTCTTTTTGGACTAAAAAATTGAGGTTGAAAATATGGATGTTTGGGTTAACTTTTTGTGGCTCTTGACAGATTTTGAGTGTAAAACGACGTCGTTTTGACAGATTTGAGCCATTTGAGCCACAAAAATTTGAGCTACCAAACATTTTCCTTCAAACAATTAATATTGTAGTGTTCGTCAAATAGAGTATCTATATAAAAAATCAAATTAATCGATATTAGTAATCACATGTTCATGGCCTAAAAAATAAATAATTTATTATCAATATCATACTTACTATTAATTTTTTTAAAAATAAATGTAATATTGTTATGTGCTTGCAAATGTCCAACGACGGGCAAGGATGACATTGCTATGCCTAGCATCGACCCCCATGAGGGCCATAGCAACATCTTGTGTGGCCTTTTGTCTTCGTATTATAGGGTTTATCAAACATATCATCTATAAATAAATAAATAAAAGGTAAATTAGACGTACGTAATTCCATGATCAAGCCTTAACTGTTTTCTAAAAAATATCAAAATTATATCAACTGTTTATTTTTTTAAAATATAAATGTAATCTTGTTATATGGTTACAAAAATTACAAATATCCAATTAATCAATTTTTTTAAAAATTTTTTTTTATGAATAATCAACTCAATGAATCATAACATAGATATGAGACGGTATGGAATCTTAGTTTGAAAATTACAAATTAACAAGATTATTGAAAGACATTTTGTAGGTTGTGCTTCAATGAGGCTTTTAAGTCTTTGAGTCCAATGTGTTAGATTTGAAAGAGTTTAAAAAACATATGAGTTGGGTTGAAAAATAAAGTGGCTTGGATTGGTCAATACAAGCCCAAATGGTGTTAGCATAAACTAAGTTGGGCCTCATTGTGTGTAGCCAACTTCATGAGTTGTTTCCAGAGGCCCAAAGGTTTGGGTCTCTTTCTTATCACATTTTGCAATTACGGTGGGCCTAACCAAAGTAACTCAAGTCTATATGGTAAAATTTTGGAGGAGCTACGGGCCGGTCCTTTAAACCTGATTTAATTCATATGAAGTCCTGATCCAAAATAATTTAACACATCTTCTTATTTTATCCTTGATATTTAGCCCACACGTAGAAATTTTGGGTTGAAAAATAAAGTGGCTTGGATTGGTCAATACAAGCCCAAATGGTGTTAGCATAAACTAAGTTGGGCCTCATTGTGTGTAGCCAACTTCATGAGTTGTTTCCAGAGGCCCAAAGGTTTGGGTCTCTTTCTTATCACATTTTGCAATTACGGTGGGCCTAACCAAAGTAACTCAAGTCTATATGGTAAAATTTTGGGGGAGCTACCGGCCGGTCCTTTAAACTTGATTTAATTCCTATGAAGTCCTGATCTAAAATAATTTAACACATCTTCCTATTTTATCCTTGATATTTAGCCCACACGTAGAAATCGCTCAACCATTCTACACTCTCTCTCTCTCTCAATCGGCCACCAAAGACCACTTTCGACCTTTAACAATATTTTTTTTTTGGCCAATACCGCCATGCTAGAAACAAGAAAAAAAAAGAGAAAAATATGGATGAAGAAAGTGAAGTAGGAGAATAATATTCAATGATAAATTTAGTCTTTATAATCACAAATCACAAATCAACATAAGATTTAAAGACATACTCAGTGATAAATTTATCACTATTAGACACATTCAGTGATAAATTTATCGCTGACTGTTTGTTAAAAAAATTACAAAAAGAAAATCTCATTATTATCATTACAAATT